AAATATATTTAAATAATACAAAACAAGGCAGAGAAGTGGAAACTAAGAAACAGAAAACAGAAACAAATATTAAATGGTAGAACTAATTTCAAACATGTCAATAATTAAATAATGTGTAAATATGTAAATACATAATTAGAAGACTAAGATTGTTAAATATAGTCACTATGAGGAATTCTTGAGATTTTTTTAAATGTCAGTTAGTTTGGAAATGAGTCAATCCTGCCTATGGTCTTCCCACATAGCAAATAGATCCTCAAAATTTTTTCCTATAACTGAGTATTTGTACCCTTTGACCTGCATCACCTGGTAGACAGATGATATTCAAATTCAAGAAACTGATTCTGCTCCTCAACTGAACCCTCCACTCTTGGCATCACGGCTACCAAGACAACTACTAGGATGACCTGGACTATGGCTATGACCATGGCTGTGGCTATGGTAACTCTGGACATGCCTGCTACCACCCATGTTACTCTGGAAGATACTGGGGTTCTGGCTGGTATTAAGATATTCTAGATTGCTGATCCCTTATATATTTCTTGCTACTGTATAAGAATTATTTATTATCTAAGATTTATCTTCTATTCTTACATTAACATCAAAATCCTAGGCTACCCATGATAAAAGTGTTTCCAATTCATTAACTATCTGGAATATCCATGATTTTGTGAGGAAAAAATTTCATTCTTCTTTCAGTGTTTGCATAAATCCAATCTCAGCATTTCTTTGGGAAAATCTAATTTCATTTTTCATTATACATAAGTTTATTTGCAAGGATACAATGTATTTATATCCTATATTAGTTTTGCTTCATCATTCCTGAGTGTAAGAATATGTGCATGCAGTGTACACGTGTCTGTGTTTGTATGTGCTTTTGTGTGTATATGAGTGTAGCTGCATAGCTGCTGCATTTCTATCAGCTTAGATCTGCTCCAGGGACATGAATTCATTGGCATTTGAAGGGAGAAAGACTTCATTCTGAGAATCTGAGTGGCCTACAATAGGAAGCCATTCGCATGGCTGAACTGATGAGTGCAGAGTGTGCACTGATAAGGCACCAAATAGAAACTCCTAGAGATCACACATCGCATCACGCAGATGCAGTCCTATCTCATGTTGGGTTCACTTCATCCTGTCATTACTTCTTAAAGACAAAAGCTGGCATGAACTCTCAAAAGCAAAACAAAATCAAATAACAACAACAAAAGGGTTATTAGTGAGACAAGCTAAAGTCCCTTTTCAGTTAAAGTTGGTTCCTAACCAGTAACATTCATCATCTCTGTATTTCATCACCCATTCTCGGTTGTCCTCAGATTTGGCTAACACCTCTGCTGGTCTGAGTAGCTTGCCGGGTGGGAGAACCTAAAACTGTCTCTGAGAATTCTGAACTCCCAGTTCCTGTGCACTTATCTGGCTACCATCCTCTAGGAATGGGAAGCAAGCAGAAGCTGCCCCAGTAGATCCTGTGAATTTTTCGACATATATTTCGTACCCACACTATATAGAACTTGTATCTTCTCATAATAATCAATATAGTTAATTTATTTCCCTGCTGACCTACCACCATGTGGAGCCCACTATTATCAGTGTATCAGGTAGGCAAAAATTATATGTCAGTTCACTAAGTGGTTTCTAGAAAGTGATGGAGAAAGGGAGTAATTTTACTTCCACACTTTTTTTTCAGGTCTATATATTTCAGCTATCAGGGGAAAATTACAGTGCTTAAAAAATATTCCACATTGTAGAAAACTTACCAAACCCCAAAGAGTAATTTTTTAACTCATTCATTAGATGCAATTTAAGGGGCCATTTCAACCAGTTGATGTGGTGTGTGCTAAGACTAACAGATTCCATAACAGTAGGTCATTATTTCATCTTCTCAGAGAATGCCTCAGACAAAGCAATGTTATACAGGATTCTATGATGATAAATAAGACCCTGCACATCTCAGATATTGGCTCTGGCCGTGTCACTGTGGGGAGGAAAACCAAATCCATACCCCATATGTCTACCATTACTCAGTAATATCAGATTCCTTCCCTGTGAAAGAAGTCTGCTATAATCAACTTGCCATCAAGAGCTAAGTGTGACACCCGATTATGGGCTCTGTGGAATTCTCTGATGTTTCCAGATCGGAAATTCAGCTCCAATATTAGCTAGATCAGCTTTGTGAAAGTCCATTTCTGCCACTATGGCTACACTATGGCTACTACTACACAAGCCCTGGGGTTGCATGTGCCGGAACTGGTATTTACTGGCTGAGTCACTGTCCACCTGGTTGTTTACTACTTGCTCTGTTGCAGATACACTCTAGTGGAAATTGACATCAACACAAACATCTGTATGATTTTATCCACTCTGATATCTCCAACTACACAATTCTTCCCAAGATCTCTTTAATTGTACTCCTTCCAGATCCTTGAACTTCAGTCAAATCATTATTAACAAGCCAAGACATTAATAAATGTCCAGATGTCCTTGTGTATTCTTACCTTAGATGACATCTCCCTCTGCGTGAAATTGGTGATCAGGTCTGCATAAAAGCTTTGTCCACTGGGAACATTTTCCCTTACTGTTCTCTGCCAGAGCCATTCTTATGGGGCTATAGTGCATCAGCAGTCCATTTTCAGCTGATGTCAACATCTTGAGATGACCCATCTACGAACCAGACATGAGTATATTCTTACTCTGCCATTTGGTCATATTAAAGCTTCAGTGGGGCCACAGAAGTCAACCTACAGAAGGCTTTAGTGCTACATAGATCAATAACAAGGGTAACTTACTCATAACCTTTGCACCTGCTTTAACTGATCTTGAATCTATATTCAACATTCAATTCAATATGTATTTTATTAGCAATATGTATATATTGCTACTGAACTCAGGTTCAGCTACTCACCATATGCAGGTCAATAAGTCAAGTGACAAGGTGTTGAGGCAAGAAAAGGGATTTCATTAGAAAACCTGGCTAAGAAAACGGACTAATGTCCTTAAAGACCATCTAAACATCTGCGAGCAGGCAAAGGGCTTTTAAAGACAGTGTGAGGCAGGGTGTGGGAGCAGCTCATGCACAATTCTCAGATTGTTTGGCATCAAGGTTAAGTTTTGAGCATTACCAGTCTCTGCATTCAACTGGTCTGGGGTCTATGTGCTTGTGGTCAGCAGTTTTGATCTGGTGGGGTTCTGCTTCTTATAAAAACAACCAATGGGAATGTGTGTCAGACCTTTATTTTTCAGGGAACTGGAAGTTCAATGACTCTGCTGTGTGGCTGATTTATAGCCTAAATTGTTACCAGTATCCTTGCCCAAAAGCTATTCTTTGTTTCTACCTCTTCACATTTCCTAATAATTAACGTTTGAGCTAGGCTTTGAGACTCAGGGGAGGCCAGGGAAACTAAAGCAAAAGCCTTTTACTTCAAAAGACAGGAACACCAGGGCTTGTACACAGTTTCATTACCACTTAACATTAAATGCCTGCTGATAAGTCCACCGAAATATATGGTTTGGTGGATCTGAGGTACCCAGTCATGACCGTCAGCTCATATTGTCATTTGATGTCATGCACTGAGAGATGTTCAGTCCATTAATATGCCAGGGACTCCTTTTTGAGCTATGAATATATTCTGATACCGTTCGGTCTTTCCTCAGAACCGAGACATCTGTGCTGCAAGTCTCACTTGAGGGTTTGCCAAAGACTCTGAATTTTGCGGAAGAAACACGAATTAAATGAGTACCACAATTCATGCATCTTTTAAGCCTTCATGGGTAGCAACAATCTCTGACATTCCATGCTGTGAAGGTTAATTTTATGTGTCAACTTCACTGGCCTAAAGGATGCCCAGATAGCTGGTAAACTTTATTTCTGAGTGTGACTGTGAGGGTGTTTCGAGATGAAATTAGCATTTGAATCTATAAACTAAGATCACCTTCACTGATGCAGCAGAGGCAACTTCTAAACCACTGAAGGCCTGGAGAGAACAAAAAGCGCAGAAGAGAGGTGAATTTGCTCTCAGCCAGAGCAGGATATCCATCTTCTCCCATCCTCATACATTGGTGGGACTTGGAATTCAGACTGGGGCTTAATACCATTGGCTCCCCTGGTTCTCAGGCCTTTGGACTTGGGCTGAGTTATACCACTGACTTTCCTGGTTCTCCAGGTTACAGACAGCAGACTGTGAACCTTCTTGGAGAACCCTGACTAATGCACATACAGTCTGACATTGATTCTAGTATACTATCTTGACTACTGACCATTTTCAGGGTCTTCGACTTGAATCTCCCCACTATATTGGTCAAGAAAACATACAAGGACTTTTTGGGCTTCTCTGTATATCCATGTTATTTATGCTAAGAGAGCAGCAGGAATCACTATAGATTCATGGAAACATTAATCCTGCTATGAGACATATTTGGACCAGGACTCCAATTGACTGGCATCTGGTCTTTGTGTGACTTCAACTTAATAAGAAGTAATTTTTATATTTGGGATTTCTAGATAAACATGAGCTCCGACTTTGTGACTAACAGCACCTGAAAACTTTTGAGTATTCTCCTTTCCTAGAATTCAGTTGCTCTGATAAATTCCCAAGGTCTCTTTAAGAAAGAAATTGGATATAGACCCCTTAGAAAAAATTTAAGTGGATAGATACAGATATACATAGAGATAGAAAGATAGATAGATGGATAGATAGATATAAAGACAGGTAGATAGGTAGGTAGGTAGGTAGATAGATAGATAGATAGATAGATAGATAGATAGATAATAGTTATTTTCTGTGACATTGTAGCACCCTTACTCAGTGAATTCCAAATTCAGGAAAGAGGATTGTGAGCAAGTAGGTGATGGGAATAATCTTCATATATTGACTATGTTGTCAAGTACATAACATTTATAAGGGGAATCATGGAATTTCTGATAATTATTTCTAAACCTCATCCCTACAGCCTATATCTGCACACAGGAAGAGGAACAGTGGTGCATTTCCAGAACAACCATAGTGGAATTTTTTAAATTACAGTTTCATTATTCCTGACTACATAGCCTTTACAGAAAATCTGGGAGGGCTAATTCCTTTATTTATTCAATACCTGATATGCATTCTGCTTTTGACTATGAGGAATCTTGACTGATTCAACATTGCTATAAAATGCATATTTAAATATTTAAATAAAGTATATATTTAAAAAGGAATATAGCATTTATATTGACTTTAGGACCCAAAATGTAATCTTAGATAATTCTAATTCACAGTTTCCAAATGTCTTCAGAAAAGAAAGGAAGATAATAATAATTTTAAAAAATATATAATTCTGCAAAGAACTAATAAAGAGTACCATACAAATACAAATATGCCATCCCTTTGCAAGAATCTTGAGAGTATCGCTTCATGGTATTTTGACAAGACTGGATGAAAGAAAAAGTAAATAGTTTAGGATTCTATTTATAAGAAAGAAAAACTCACCTAGGAAGAAGATAGAAAGAATCTGAAGTAGACCATCACTAACA